TAAAATTCCATCTGGTGTACTCTCCACTTATGTCTAGAATTTTTCTTTCAGCTATTCTTTTAGGTACCTTTAGTTCCGGCTTTTCCACTTTTTATCAATGTGCGACTTTTGGGAATACATCGCACTCTCTAACATTATAACTTTTCATGCCCTTTACATTTTAAAGTTATATGTCATATTAAAGGTGATGAAATAACTTTCAAAAGGATGTTGAAGACAGAAACTGGCCTTAAATCCTTTAGAGGAGCTTGTTTTAAGACTCAAATGAATAAAAACTATCCTAATGAGTCAAACCTTTGGAGGTTCAGTTTTCTTTCCCCGAAGTGTTTATAGCGGTTCATGCTAACACCTGAATGTGCTTAGGTCATGCATAACTGCACTGGTCGGAGCTCCCAGGTGCAGATAAGAGCAGCCCCCTGCTGCGTGGTTAAGCAGAACACAGATAATACACAGCAGCCCTGGGAGGCCTGGGGGAGCAGGCTGACCGCTAAGTTTCTGTAGATATCAGCCAGAGCCATGCAACTGAAGGGACTTGCTGCCACTGCCCCGAGGGCCGCGCCGTTTCTTATGATACCTGTACAAGTGAAATGGAAGAGGCCCTGTGCCCACCCTGTTTCCTCACACAGCTCACACCTAAGGCAAAGTCTTGGGTGGGTGTGGCTGACTGGTAGAACCTAGGTCTCACACTGGTACTCCAACTCAAGGGAGGTAGGAGACGTAGGGTTTGTGTGTTGTCTGTTTGTTCTTACCTATCTGGGGAGGACAGGACCCACAGTCCAGCGATCTACTACAATATAGGGAGGCTGTCTAAAGATGCTGGGCAGCCACAAATGACAGGTATCTGCTATGATAATGTCTCATGAAAATAGCAGTATGCAAATTATGTGAACTGTTTGGCCTCTATTGTTAAAAAAAATTGTGTAGCAAAATGATGGAAATACGGGGGTGGGAGGAGGGAGAAAAAAAAGATGGAAATACAGGAAATGTTAATGCTGATTATCTCTGTGGTGGATTGTGGATAATATTTTTCTTATGTTTTGTTTTCAAAAATTTCTATAATGAAACTATCTTTTCTTATAAAATAGAAAAAATGAGAGCTTATAATTAGGAAAGTATTCATTAAAATAATTGCTGCCTTGCTAGATATATGAAAACTCTATCTTAAAAGTCCTGAACGGATTTAATAATCTCTCTGTTAAACAGGTGAATGCTGAATCCCTCCCCAAAATCAAATAATAAGCAGAAAATTGTTTAAGCCGAGGTTAAAATCTGTTTTCTGTGGCTTTGTCCTCAGTGGGTACAGTAACTATTGATCACTTTAGAGAGTCATAGCATCTTAAATCGGCTTATTTGCCTCTTGAAGACCTTTCTTTTACTCTCATATTATTTACTCTAACTTTGTAGCATTTATCTTGAAGTTTTTAAAGACACAAACATACATATATACACATATTTGTGTGTATTTATCTGTTTAATATCTGTCTTCTCCAGGAGACACAAGGGCGGGGACTCCAGTGCCCATGACATCACAGACATACAGTAGATGCTATACAGGTGCAATGCATGATTGTTGATGGTTAAATAACAATGGAAGGGACTGTGGCTAGTTATCTCTGGACTGACTGTGGAACATTCCAGTCCCACCAGCTCACTGGCTCTCCCCGAGATGGTTGCAGCTGCCTGGGATGCTCTGCTGCTGTTCTGTATTCCTCACTGGAGACTCTAGAGCCCACTTAGGCCCATCGACTTATTTGCCTCTTGAAGACCTTTCTTTCACTCCTGCCCTTTGCGGAACCCCGAAAAACGTGAGCACAGTCTTGCTACTTTCTACGGTATACTTTGGAAAGAGCTCAGGTGGGCTTGCAGGCTCCCTCACCCAGCTTGTAGTTCTGTTCCCATCCCCCTCTCTGGACCTGGCCTCGGGGACATGAACTGTTGCCTCCCTTCCTCTGGTCCAGAGGGTCTCTTTATCACCTGGGGGCAGGGAGGACACTCACCCGCTGGTCATGTGTTCCTCTAGGTCTTTTCTCTTCGGCCTTGGTCTGTCCTTTGGAAAATCCAAAGCCAGGGATTTGACTCATATTCTCTGCAGTTTCCTGAGGCAGCATATGCTGCTGCTTCAGTGGGGAAAATGTGAAAGGGGAGAAACAACCCCTGGTTAACATCTCAAAAATGTCATCTGCCCCATTTGTACGAAAGGTGGGCCTATTGGAAAAGAATAAAATTAGCAATAGTTATTCCAAATTTCCAGAGTTGCTTTCCAAAGTTTGTCATTTCACTACTGATTCTAGAAAGAAGCATGCCACTCAGGACAGAGAATAGAAAGTTTGCAAAATGAGTGGGTCTGCAGGGATGCCTGTTTGTGCTGCTGTCATAAAGTTTCTCCCCAACAGTTTAGAGTCTGATAAAATAAATATCTGTCATATTGCTTAGGAGTGGGTGACAGGCTGAGAGTCACTGAGCAGGTGACAAGCTGTCCTTGACTTGGTAAGTTTCCATGCTGTCTTTGGCTGTTATGGATCTCGTATTAGGTAATATGCAAGGAGAGTTCCCGCTGTCAGTTAAGCAACGCGATGTTAGGTAAGGAAGGTAGAATGTCTCCGTGCCAGCTAGGGATGATTTTATTAGACGTCATCTGTCTTTATAGTCCTCCCTCCATCTGCTAAACGGTGGGCAAATGAGATTTTATGCTTTATCTTTAGGATGCCAGGCCGGGCTCAGGTAACTATATGAGAAATCTCATGCTCTGTTGCTCAATAGTTGATGTTTGCAAGGAAAAGTACCTTGAAGCTTTTTACAGCATTTGTTCCTTCACAGCATGAGGATATTACAAGTTTGTGTAAGGCTTTGTGTTGTCATGCTTAACCACTGTGACTTTTACAACTGCACGTTAGCTGGGGCCCAGTAAATTACTGGAAAAGCACTGTGAAGATGTCATTGAGCTCTGCCTGCTGCTTCATAATCTTCAGAAGTTACAGAAAAACATAACTGCATATGTGATTTCAAGCTTCTTTTCGTATACTAACAATCTGACATGTCACTCTTAATAAGCACAAGGTCATTTTTAACCAAATCTGCGATAGGACAATTTTTTCACTGAATATGTTACCAAGCAAGCATTCCTCTAGATTCCACTTCATTTTCAAGTCGGGCCTCGTAGGGCATTATGTAACCTAACAAAACCAACGTGAAAGCACCATGAGGGGAAGGGGAGCAAAGATTCCAACTTTATCAATGGCGTCGTAGCTAAAGACTTCTGCAAATGACGAGCAGAGCCCAGGAGGCTTCTGGTGCAGAGCCGCCCTTGCTAATGCAGTTGGCCGGTTCTATGTGGAAATAACGCCTGCCTGCCATGGTTGTCTTTGGAAGCGGGACAGATTCAGAATGGGAAGACTATGAAGAACATTTTAAAAGAATACTGATTTTTACATTTTTAAACCAGTGTTTTAGAATTGTCAATTACTTAATAATTTTGTTTGCAAGTTGTCATTATCAAGGTTTTTTGGTAAGCATTGACTTAGTTTTCCTAGCAAAGATAACTTTCACACTCATCTTTCATCAGTTTGTCATATTTTAATCACAGATATACAATAATGAGCGAAACTGGCGTAAATAAGCTTGGGAACAAACACAATGGCTTGGGGAAGCAGCACATCTCAGCCGAAGGGCAGAAATGGGCATGCCAGAGAGCGTGTGGGAGCCTCAGGCATTCACTAGGGCAAAAGCCACCATCAGCGTCTGTTAGGAAAGACCGGAGGATGCTGGTTAACCTATGAATTGGTTAAAGGACTTTTAATTGAGAGTTTCTACTATAAATACATTTTCATTAATATGCATAGGCAGTAACTCTTAAAGAGCATTAATTTTTGCAAAATGATTTCTAGTATAGGTCCTATAGAACTTGCCTTAATGAACAGCTAAAGTTCCTTATAAATCAGCAGAATCTGTCTACACACATAATTGGTACTCTAAAGTGCTTCTCCCCGGCAATCTCTTTTACACTTTGGTACTATAATTGGTTTGTTCATCAGACTATTTTTTCCTTAGATGGGAAGAAATAATGTTTTGGTCCACCTCTCATTGAGTTATCACAATTTTTAAATTAATAATTTGGAGATTTAATGAGCTCTTGTTCCATTTATATATGCTCGAGATCCTAAATACTTCTACCAATATCTTTAGATTTTTTTTCTTTTCTTAAATACTGGTAGCGAGAAAGTATGCTATGCCAAGGATAGTTTTAAAAAGAAGATAGATAGATGTTGTCCTATTAATAGACTTTGAAAATTGTAGAGCTGAGAGACAGAATGAAGCGCGCATGTGTGAGTGTTATATAATAAGTCATAATATACACATAGAGGCAGAGAGAGACACAGCAGAGTCAGAGAAAGAAATAGACAAAGAGAGAATAAGGCAGACACAGACAGAGTGACAGATATTATATTACATTCTATTCCATTGTGTTTTATTACATTACATTATATTACATTATATTCACATATACACACACACATATATATAGAGAGAGAAAGAGACAAAGGGACATAGGGACAGAGAGATAGACACCAAGATAAGGCTAGAAAAAGAAATTGAAAAGTGGGTAGAAACAGGAAAAGAAGTAAGATGAGAGCGAAAACACAGACAGAAAAAGACAGAAACAAGAGATGCCGGGTGAGAGACAGAGAGAAATGGAAACATCTGGAGAGACAGAGGAAGAGCCGCCTCAGTGATGTTGCTCAAGATCAGCTCCATCTCTGCGCTGTTTGACCAAAACTGTAGAGCCACAGGTGTGGAAGTCAAAGGCCTTGGGGAGGCCGTTTCATTGGCCAAGACCAATAGGTGACACAGTGTCATAACAGGCAATACCAGTCCTATGAGTAGGTCATAACTTGGGTATTAATTAGATGGCCCTGTACCACTTGTTCATATCTATCTATTAAATGTGTTTTTAGCTCTAAATTATTTTTAAAAAAAATTTTTTTTTTTTTTTTTGGCTGCAGGAAGGTACTGAAGGAAATCTCTGTTGGAGGACTCAATCCAAATGAGACCGTGCAGGCCAGTTTGGAGGCCCAGCTCCTTTCCAAGCTGGACCACCCAGCCATTGTCAAGTTCCACTCAAGCTTTGTGGAACAAGATAATTTCTGCATTATCACAGAGTACTGTGAGGTGAGACACTCCTTCTTTTTTCAAAATTTAATAAAAATCTGTTTCATAGATAAAAGTTATCTGTAAAGAGATGTCTCTCAAAAATTCAGTTATCCAGACCTGGGATCTCATGTCTTACAGCTAAAAATGATCATCTCTAGGTAAATGACAAATTTGTTTCTAATGAAGGTTTTCTCTCCTTCGGAAAACTTAGAATGAATATATTTTAAGAAGAAATTGCTGCAGAAGAATGCTTAAATATCTCTTTTTCTGGGGGGCATTCCCCAAACCTCTTAGAATTGTCCTGTGCTTAGATGGACATTTAAGAGTCATAACAGAGGCCTGCACAGGAAAGAGGTACATCTCCTAAGTTCTAGATTCTAGCTCCATGGCTTGTTTTCCCTGTGGAAATCCTTCATATTGATTGATTTGTGATTTATGGCTTCAGGTATTTGCAGTTTTCCCTGCCACTCCATGTTCTTTCCAAGTGATAATAGGCTGCACATCTTACTGATTCCCAAGCGTGTCTGAGGCCGCTTAGAAAGGTGCCAGAGGGGGACGTTGACAAGGCGCAGCTGTAATGCAGATCTGTGCATTTACTCCTGAGAGGCTAGGTGGAGGGGAGTTACAAGAGTTGGGTGAGCAAGAGAATACCCAAATATGACGTTGCTCAGAAAGTATCTCCCAGAACATTCTGAGAGCTAGCAGTAACTAAATGCACCTTGGAAGAATGTGATTCTATTCATATATTGCTGGGACCCAAAATTAATGATGCCGGGAAGAAAGATGCTCTTTAGAGTGGAAGACAGGCCTATTTGGGTCAGAAACTTTGTACAGCAAGAGGGTGCTGTGTGCAGAAAAGGGACAGAAGCAGCAGCTCAAAAGGAGTAGGGATAAGAATAAAAACCAACCTCGCCGGCTTTATACATTAGCTGGTTAATCATCCAAAATGAATCCAGTTGCCAAGTTAAAATATCTGCGAAATTTCAAGTCTCAAAGGCTTGAAGGCTATATTGCTCTTCAGGGCAGCCTGCCCAGCTCAGCCTTGCTGGGTGTTTCCCCATTCAAGTCTTGCCCCTCCTCTGCTTGTGGGAAAACAAGAAGCAGAACCAGGACATTTAGATATTTACTTCTCCTTCATCCAGTGGCTTGTTTAGAAAATCAATAAAGTGATGAGATGTGCAAAGAAATAATAGTGAACAACTACTGTGGCAATTATGTTTCTAATCCATGCAAAAACCATATGATCCATCTGCTGTAATTTAACTGTTTTTCTTCCTTTATCCCCTAAACAGTGAATAAACTGTTTTATGTGGGAAATAACTGACTCCTACTGCTTATGACTGTAACTGCTGCTCTACTGCTGCTTTTGGCACATTAAATTTTCCATAGACTCTTTCCGGGTCATATAATATTTTTCACTGTAGTCAGTACTGTCCAAAGGGAATTTCTGTGATGATGGACATGTTCTATATTTGTGCTATGTTCTATATGCAATACATAATCACTAGTCACACATGAATCTTTAGTGCTTGGTGAAGTAAGGCTAAGTGTGATCGAGGAGCTCAGTGTTAATTTTTATTTAATTTTAATTAATTTATATTTTAATAACCATGTATAGCTACTGTGTTGGGCAGATCTAGATGATCAGCTGTAACTTTCTTTTCCTACATTATTATTTTTAAAATTTTTAATTTTAATCTACCAGAAAAGTTACAAGAATAACACAATGAACTCCCATATGCCCTTTGTCCAGATTTCTCAATTATCTTTTTTCCACATTTGATTTGTCATTCTATTTATTCATTTTATCTATCTATCTATCTATCTATCTATCTATCTATCTATCTATCTAATCTATCACTTTTCCTGAACCATTTGAGTAAGTTCAAACATGATATCCTTTTGTCCTAAATACTATATTTTCTAAGATCAAAGTCATTTTCTTACATAAACACAGTACAATGATCAAAATCAGGCGATTAACATCGATACAATTCTAGTATGTAATGCAGTGGTTCTCACTCAAAGTGTGATCCCAGACCAACAGCATCAGCATCATTTGGGAACTTGTTAGAAATACAGATTCTCAGCCTCCATCCCAGCCATACTGAATCAGAAATTCTGGGGACGGGATCTGGCAATCTGTGTTTTGACAAGCTCACCAGGTGAGTCTGAAGCACACTGAAGTTTGAGAAGTGCCCATCTAATCCACAGTTCATAGTTAAATTTAGCCTATTTGTTCCAATTATGTTCTATAATTTTTTTTTTTTTTGCTCTTGCAGAATCCAATCCAGGATCATCTGCGTTCATTTTTTTAAAGCATTTTATTTTATTTTATTATTAGTTTCAAGTATACAGTACATTGATTAGACATTTATATAGTTTATGAAATGATCTCCTCGATTATTCTATCACCCCTCTGACTCTCCACCTAGCCATTACATTACGGCTGACTACATTCCCTGTGCTGTGCTCCCTGTCCCCGTTCATTTTTAAACGCTGGTGGCTTCCAGGGCTGAGTTGCATTCCCTGAGGGGCGTTGCCATGGTGATGGCTGCTGGCTGAGCTGAGAACAGCTGTGGGGCTTCCTGGACTCCTGTGCTGAGCTGTCAGGCTGCCACTTCCTTGGCTCCCAAGGAATGACGTGTGTGAATCTCTTCGCTCTTGTTATTAACAGAGATATTTCTCAACTTCAGACCCAAATTTGCCCTTAACTCGCACAAACCTGGCATTGTTCTCTTTTTATTGTGGTAAAATAATAATACTGGAAATGGCAGATGGTCAAATTTGCACCTCATGAGAAAATGCTGTATCACCATGGGAATACTTGGTCTTTTTTACCTCCGTTTCCTCTTCTGTAATTTAATTTGGGGCCTTGCAAGATTGAAATATATAAATGCATTTATGAGACCGCTTCATCCACCACCCAACCCTTTGGACACACACATCACATTCGATTATGAGTGTGAAAAGCAAATAACCAAACTCTAGCAACTTCTTGTTAAGACCTAACCAAATCGTTGAGGGCGAATAATTCCAAAACTACCAAAGTGGCAGAATATTTCAAATATTGGCATCTTCTATTCTCTCTCATCCAGGAGAAATGGAACTAGTTGCTGTTCCCTGTCCATCTTCCACAGTTCTCACCTCTTCATCTGTGTTTGGGCCATTCCCTCTCAGAATGTCCTTCTTCCTAGCCCCACACCTTCAAATGCTACGCATCCTCCCAGGCTCAGCTGAAATGCCACCTTCTCTACAAAGACTCTCATAATCTCCTGCCTGGAAATCACTCCCCACCTGATCCTCGTCCAATAGCGTTTTATCTCTTGTGACACTCAGCACACTACACATAACCATCTCAGACTCTCAACATCCCCACATTGATCTTTTTCTGATTCAGTTTTGTATCACATCGTGGATCCACATGATGAGCCATAAAGAAATTACCACTCAGGAATTTTTTTTTTTTTCCTGATGAATTCTTTACCACTTACTTCCAGCTGCCTCCCATCCATTTCTGTCAAACACTGACGGTAACAGATAAAACATTGGATCCTTCTACCTGTCATATATGTCAAAAGCATTTTGTCCTACCTTCTTTTGCTGGTACACTTGACATTGTACGGCACCGGAAACTTGTGAGATACTGCTGAAGGTTTTTCATTTGGGTTTGGATAAGGCATTTCCAGAAACCTGGGTGTTAAATTAGTAGACAAAATAGAGAATAGGTGAGATCACATATCTTCAGGAGAGAGAGAACATGTGACTATTAGGGCCCAAAGCAGGAAAGATTGGACTTCTTATTTTTTGCTCAGTGATATTAACACAGCTGAACAAAAATTCTATCAATATAATAGTAGTGCTCAACCTTGCCTGCACATTACAATCACCTGGAGAGAGAAAAATCCCCAGACCTGAAGCCCACCTCCAGAAAATATATTAAATAGCTGATTTAATTGATCTGGGGTATGATCCAGACATCTGGATTTTTGAAAACTCTCTGAGTGATTCTAATGTGCAGCCAGAGCTGAGAACAGCGGCAGGAGGTAGGAGGTGGGGGGCGAAGAATGATTAGTGTGGAAATGGAAATAGAGTCACAAAGGAAAACGATATTTCTGGATCACTGTGCAAAGATCACTGAATATAAAACCACACCTACCACCAGGGCCATACTTCCCCAGACCAGGGGAAGTATGGTCTGGGGAAGTATGGCCCTGGTGGTAGGTGTGGTTTTATATTCAGGCTACCTAGCTTGGTGCTATTATTCATGAAAATTTCCCAACTTGTTCTCCTTGCTTCCTGAGCTACCTTCTGCTTCCAGTTCATCTCTCCACACATTCCTCTTCTAACAGGAAAAAATATGCCATAAACCAACACAAGCTCCCAGTTGTATTGGCAGTTCTAGTTCTCATTGCATGCAAATAAATTGGCATTCTAGATCATTTATTGGTTTCCTTATGAGTTTGAAGTTCACAAAGACACTAGTAACCAAGGGTCTTTCCAAAAGTGATTACTGAATGCCAACTAGGTGTCAGATACAAGTCCAGATATGGCGTGGGGCAGCAGAGATAATATGATATTTTTTTTAACTAACCTGTATGGTAGGATAAACGAATTGTTTACATCAATGGCTAATATATAAGGGAGAGGTGGTAACTGTCAAGAAAAGGGTTAAAGTGTGATGGGAGCTAAGAGAAGAGAGAAATGACTTTGGACTGGGGGAACCATGTAGGGGTTGGCATTATATTTGAAGTCCGGGAAAGATTTTGTTAAAGGATATGAGATATCCTTTAAAGGGAGTAAAGTGATGAAAGGCTCGGAGGTAGAAAAGCATGGGCCATGATTTAGGAACCTAATACACCACCTTTAATTGTAATGAGTTTGCAGCTAAGCACATTCCCTGATGTTAACAATTTCTATAACCATAGTACAATGTTCAAAACCAGGATATTAATATTTTGCCATTTCTCCCCACCTCCCACAGTGTCTTTTATCTGTTCCAAGATCCAATCTAAGAT